CTGTCTCTATGTCTCTCTCTGTCTGTCTGGCGAGCGCACGTGCCCTACAGTGAAAATCTCTCCAAAAAAAAAAAAAAAGAATCAGGCTTGGAATAAGGATGCTGACCTTTGGGGTAATGATCATAATTGCATAATTGTTTGGGGCTCCTTGACCCAATGTTCTACTCTGACAATCTCAAACTCATTTTTAAAATATTCTCTTTTATTCAAGGAATTATTTATTTTTATTTTAGTATTATTATTATTATTTCTTAAATTTGCTATAGGGCACGTGTGCATGAGAGAGAGAGAGAGAGAGAGAGAGAGAGAAAGAGAGAGAAAGTGAGAAAGCAAGCCACCAGGTCTAGGACCTGAACTGAGGTTGACCACGTGGGAGTCCAATGCCTTTACCACCATGCAACCAGCTGGTTAAGTCAACAATAAATTATTTAAACTTCTTTTAATCTCACTGTTTCTCTTGACTAGTGCTAGAAATGCCCTGTGAAGGAGTCACTTGAGTCACTGGTCCCTTACTAAGGGTGTCTTTCTTCTGGTATCCTCTTAATAAGAACTATCACACACCTTAGTGGACATTCCTCAGAGGAGAGAGAGTTCATGAATAGTTATGGTTAGATTTTCTAAGGGGTATGCAGAATCTATTTTTTAAAGAATTATTTATTCATTTTTATTTATTATTATTTTTTATTACTTTGACTAGAGAGACAGAGAGAGAGAGAGAAGAGGAAAGTGAGAAAGCAAGCTGCCAGGTCTGGGACTCAATCTGCAGTCAGTCATGTGGGAGTCCGGGGCCTTACCACCATGCTACCTGTCGGCTTTGCAGAATTTATGTCTAAGAATTATACTTTATTTTTCTTAAAAAATAAGAACATAGTTAAAAATAACATCAATGTTACTTAATAAAATGCATAGTTTTTAAAATACTATTCAGTTTATATTCAAATTTCACCAGTTGTTCCCAACTGTTCTTTATTACACATTTGTGTAAGCCAGGGCTCACTCAGAACCACACACTGCACCCTGTCCCTTAAGTCAGCCTGATGTATTGACTAGGTTAGATGTTCCAGAGACTCTCTAGTGTTGTGAAGATTAAATGACATAATGCCTAGAAAAGTGCCAAGAGGTATCTCTAGGGCAACTTCGTTAATTCTCATCATGTAATTCCATCTTCTTCCTGGTGACAGCCAGAGGCTCTAATCTCCTCAAACCATTTCACACTCCCTCTATAGCTCTTGCAGGATTTCACCTTGAAGGAGAAAGGGTGGGGAAAGGAGAAACCATGAATCATGTCCACTCGACTGTTTGTTTTCTACTTTTATCTCCTTCTCTAGCTCAGGATCTACTGTGGTAAGAGGGGAAGAGCCTTCACTTCCTCTTGCTGTCTGGCTGTGCTTTCTTTCTAACGTGCTCCTTATTTAACTGGCATTTCTCTTCTCTAGTTATCTGGAAGTATAATAGTTGAATTGAGTTAAGAAACATGATTGATATAGGAGAAAGAAATATGCAAAAAAAAAAAAATTGGGGGACCCAGCAGATGGCAAAATGGTTATATTGCCGGATTCCCACGTAGTCGACTGTAGTTTGAGTCCCAGGCCCAGTGACTTAAAACTCATGCCGGGCGCATGTGTGTGCATGCCCAAGATCCCAAGAAGAGAACAGAGCAGAAGGAATTGAAGCATGGCCTTTCCCCCTAGGGAGTGATTTCTCACTTTCTGTCTCTCTGTCTCTCTCTGTTTTTCTGGCAAGTGCACATGCCCTACAGCAAAAATCTATCTCTCTAAAAAAGAAGAAAATAATATTTTCAAACTTTCATTGCTCATTATATGAAATCAGACACTATCACTCTGTAGCTTAAGACCTTTTACTGACCTCCCAATGGCATGTAACCTGTAGCTTCATTAACATCATCTGCCATTCTAGCAGGATCTGGCTCCTGCTTCTGCCTTCAACTCATTTCCTAATATTGTCCTCTGGTGGCTGTTGTATGAATCTTCTTCCAGTTTTTAAATAGGCAAGGTTATGTCCTACCTCAGGGCCTTTGTACATGCTTCTTTCCTCTCCTAGAAAAAATTTTCCCACTCTTTGCAGGACTAAGCTCTTCTCTTCCTTCAGTTCTCATCTTAAATGTCACCATCTTGGGACCAACAGGTGGTGTGGCGAGGTATTGAACTCTCACATGGCTGACCACGATTTGAGTTCTGGACCCGGTGGCTCAAAACTCACACTGGGCACACATGTGTCTATGCCCAAAATCCCAAGAGGAGAATGGAGGAGAAGGGATTGCAATATGGCCATCTCCCTGGGGAGTAATTTTTTGCTTTCTGTCTCCCTGTCTCCCATAAGCACATGTGTCCTATAGGAAAATTTTCTCAAAAAATGAAAAAAAAAAAGCCATATCTTCTCTGACCACTGTTTGCCAGAACCTTGTTTCTGAAATCATCTCTGTATTTTCATTTGTATTATTTCCTCCATTGTAATTACAGTACTTGCCATTATTTTATTCATTTGTCAAGTTTATTTGTTTTACTTATCATGCCCATGAGAAAGGAGGCTTCATAACAGCAGGTATGGTATGATTTTGAATATACCCATATTCCTGGCTTCTGTCTGTTACAAAGCAAAACCCAACAAATATTTGTAGGATGAGAAACTGAATGCCATATCTAGTATGGTCTAAGTTCTTAAATATGGACTCATATTACTGTTATGAAACCTCTCTCTATGTGATAAACTTGAAAATATCTGCTGCATTGAACTTAAGTATTTTATTTTATCTCACAAGGCTATTTTAGAGGACTTCATGGTAGATTTGTGTTAAGAAATTTATTTAGCTAAGTCAAGCACAACATATAATATAGCGTCTAGGTCAACACATGATTATTACGGTGTATCAAAAAGTTTATCAACACCACTGCCTACAGTCATGTGGAATGTAGACACTGAACTCAAGGAAATAGATGACCTAGCTTAGAGGATTCCCAAACAGAGGACTACGTGTGTGCTAGTTTCTTCTTACTGCTTATTGTAAAATGGGAGAGGAAAGAGATAACTAAGAAAATCCTGTTACATAAGTTGAGTTATGACTTGACAATGTTGAAAATTCTCAGCCTCCCAAGATGGCAAGCAATGTTGAATGAAGAAATGGCTTCTGAATCAAGATTCAATGCCACGAAAGTATAATTGAAGGGGGAAGCCAGGGATGTCATAGTCAAATCTTTTGTTAGGATCTCAGAAATTTCAAATGCATTATGATGCCTCAGAATGCTACTCACTCAGACAAAGATGCTCTAAAGACATTGAACATGTGCCTCATAGTTTTTCTTAATCAAACAATAGGATTTCTAGGAAGGTAAGGCATTTCCCCTTATCCTGTCAGCGGAAGCTCAACATTGAAAAAGACTTATTATTATTTTTAGGTTTTTGCCATTGGGCACATGAACTCACCAGAAAGAGACAGAGAGGGGGGAAGTGAGCAATCACCCCCCAGGTGGGGAAGGCCATGCCACAATCCCTTCTTCCCCATTCTTTTTCTCGGATTTTGGGCATGTGTGCACACATATGCACATGTGTGAATTTCAAGCTTCTGGGTATGGGACTCAAACTATGTGTGGGAGTCTAGAACCTTAACCACCATTCCACCTACTGGTCTCCGAAGAGGACTTACTTTAAAGAAATTTATACATTTGATTTTCATGTAATATAGTTTACTCCAAAAAGATTCACAGAAGAGCCACAACATTTTAAAATAAATGATTTAAGTGGAAAAATGTCCTGTTTATACTGAAAGGAAGAGAGAACAAAATGAAAAGAGGTCTTTAGAGCTCCAAATTCTATAAGCTGAGAAAAGTACTTGGCTACCAAGATGTGTTACCTTTCAAGAAGAAAAGGAGGATTGGTGGCTAGCAGCAAGCCTTCAGAGAATAGGGCTGACAGCTGTGGAGAGCTATCTCTGGACCTGGAGAGTTCTTCAAAAAACATCCAACATTTTCTCGTCTTCATTTTATCACCGCCATGGACCTATGTTCCTGGCCTGCCATTATTCATGCTCTTGTGTGGTTTCCTGTCACACTGTGCTAGGGTTGATCTGTGTGATCAAAAGCAGACACCAGAAGTGATGGTGTGTCATTTCAAGATTAGAATATTGACTGCAGTTCGAGTCCTGGACATGGTGTCTTAAAAATCAGTCCAGGCACATATGTGTGCTTGCCCAAAATCCTGAGAGGAGAATGGAGGAGAAGAGATTGTGATGTAGCTGTCTCTCCTGGGGGCGGGGGAGTGCTTTCTCATTTACCATCTTATTGTCTCTCTCTATCTCTATCCAGCAAGCACATACACCCTATGGTAAAAACCTAAAAATAAATTTTAAAAAAGTTGATAGTTGCTTATATGGATCCTTTTTGCACATCTACCAGAGTATTATTAATAGTATTATCAATAGAGCTTTAAAGTTTGCACAGGATAGCCTTAGATTATGCCTGTTGTCCTAGCATAATTATGTTTCCCCATTTATTCTGAAAATGGCTGGGTTGGATAATAAATTATATAACTAAAATTATGTTTACAGCTCTAGCATCCTCCCCAGGCAGCCATATGTCCAAGCCATGTGCGTTTACATTCTCTAAGATGTTACCATTATACAAGATATGTGTGTACATGTACATGTGTGTGTTTATGTGGGTGTGTGAAAGCAAAAAGAGAAAGAATGAGACGAAGAAAGTTGTGGGGGTTTCCATTAAGCATTTTCCCTCCTTTTGTTATGTTGTCCACCATTCCTTCCATCTTCCTATGCAAACATAACCGAGCAGGTAAGAAAGGTCAGACACTCTAACAAGAGGACTGCTGGAAGTGTAGAGCTTGTGTTATTATTTGTCTCTAAGAACCATAGACTTTGAGGGGCAGCATATCCTGGTCTTACAAAAGCCAGCACGTCCATGGATATTTCAAGTGGATTTTGAGTCAGTTTGATTTTCTCTTATTTTATTTTTCTATTTTCTTTCACGCAGGATTTGAAATACAAAGGAGAGAAACTCGACCAATACATTCCTATGTCTTGTTTAAAGACTGACACAGCATTCGAGAAGTATGTTCCTTAAGGCTAGATTTAATGTATGGTGTCTGTCTGTTTTGCTATGGATTGAATATGACTGGCTATGGCTGTAGACACTCCCTAGTTTGATTCATGATAAGGGTCAAATTTTGGGAAACCACGAAGCCATTTTATCCTAGGATCTGTGCCCCTTCATCCTTGCTATGTTTAGGGATAAGGTTTGGGTGCTATAGCCAAGAGCCATGTCTTACCGACCTCTTAGTGTCTAACTCTTCATCCAGTATGGGAGCTTCCCGATGCTAATCTGTCTCTGCTTTTCTGTTCTAGTGCAGAGGTGTGGTGATAGCAGGGGTTGGTTCAGAGGCAACTCTCAAGATGAAGGGTCTCACTTTGAAACTTAGATTTTACTCTTATGACCATGTGACCTTGAAGAAGAGAATCAACATTCCTCAGCATCAATTTCTCATTGGTTAGGCAGGAATAATAATACCTCGTTAGATTATGGTTAGGGTTAAATGAGATAAAAAAAAAATTCAACACATTTGAAAGTGCACCTTGAGCATGCCAAGCACACAGTAAATATTTCTTAATATTGTACATCAGTGGTTCTCAATCAGGATCAATTTTGCCTTCAGAGGACATCTGGCAATGTCTGGAAACATTTTTTTTTCCTTTTTATTGTCATAGAATTAAAACATTGCCAGAGAGAGAAAGAAGAGAGAGAGAGAGAAAGAGAGAGAGAGAGAAAGAGTCCTCTATGGAGTGTAGTCATGCCACAATCCCTTCTCCATTTGTCCCTCCTGTTGGGAATTTGGGCACATGTACACACAAGGCATGTCTTTCAGGCTACTGAGGTCAGGATTTGAACCACCGTGGGTCATGTGAGATCTAGCATTTTATACACAGGGTTTAACTGCTGTGCTATAAGGACACTCCTGGAGATATTTTTGGGTCCCAGCTTGGGGCCAGAGAAGTGCTAGTAGCATCCAGCAGGCTGAGACCGAGAATCTTGATAAACTTCCTACAATGCACAGGGAGACCCCCACACCAAGAACGATCTGGTTCAGATGTCAAGGGGTTGCGGTTGAGAAGTCCTGCTGTACCCCAGTGCTGCTTCTTCATTGCTGCTTTCCTTAACTTCTTGTTGTACTGTCAGTGCAATGAAGACTAGTTAGTGTCTGGGACAGTGGGCCATGTAGACCGCACTGTTTACTGAGATGTCATTTCAGTGCTCAAGGTACAGAGGTCTGTGTGGTAGGCTAGTCCAACTCCCCTGCTCAGCATTTCCAACAATAGGAATTTACACCAAGAAAACAGCCAGTGAATGAGACATGGTATGTGGGAGAGTTAATTATAGGCTATCTTACAACAGTGGAAATAGAAACTAATCTAAATATCCAGTAATAAGGGATCATTTAAATAACTGCTAAGGGGTAGACCCTTAGAATGTAATAAAAGGTCATACCTACAAATTATGCCAAAGAGAGAAAAAAGAGTACCAGAAAGGAAAAAAAAAATCTCATGGAAAAGGCTTATAATATACAAAGTAAGAAACACAGATTACAAAATAATATTTACAGTATCAGTCTCATTTTATAAAGGAAAAAAGGTATGTCTAGCTACCCAGTTATGAACACTAGAAGTCAATGTATTACCAGTGATTATCTCTGCATTGGGTGCTAATGGGTGACCTTGGTGGGGCAGGGCTTAAATTAAAAAAAAAAAATGTAATGCTCAAACTCATATGTAAATATTATAAAATCAAGGGCTCTCTATGAGGGAATATAATAAGAATATGCTTGAGGACTGAATGCAAGAGTGAATGGATGTACGGTTCTGGATCTGATCTAGAATATGTGAGTTCCAAGGAAAACCAAATCTCCAGACTTAGTTCTAGGACCTGGTAACATGTTAAAGTGGCATTTTAACATTTTAAAGTGCCTGTGCTAAATTTAAGGGAAGGTTTTTAGAAAACCTTTGATTACAAAGATTGCAATCAGGAACCATATTTTCTTTCTTTTTTTTTTTTTCCTTTAGGATGATAACCACGGATTTAGTTTCTAATTATTTAGATTACATTAGTAGGATATTTCATGAGTGTCTTGCAATCTTCGCCAATGGAACAAAGAAAGAAACAGGAAGTCATCTCACTGTGGTTAACAGACAGTGTTTGGTGGTTTTTTGTTTTTGAAAAGTTTTTGCTATAGGGTGCATGTACTCACCAGAAAGACAGAGAGAGACAGAGAGACAGGAAGCGAGAAATCATCCCCCAAGGGGAATAGCCACGCTGCAATCCCTTCTCCTCCTTTCTCCTCTCGGGATCTTGGGCACGCACACACACACACACGCCCGGCGTGAGTTTAAGCCACCGGGACTGGGACTTGCACCATGGTTGATTACATGGGAGCCCAGCGACATAGTCATTAAGCCAACTGCTGGTCCCAAGACAATGTTTGGTGTTTACTAATGAAATCTGTTTACCTTCATAACTGTAAAGTAGGTCCATTAAAGACAATAGATACAGTAGTTTAATAGTAATAAAATTTACAACAAAGTGTATTTAATTTGAAATTGAATTGCCAGCAAATGGGTGTCCTAATGAACCCTGTGTCAATGTAGCTTGAACCAAATTAAGGAAAATCATTTGTATCATAGGAAACTAAATCAGCAATGAGACCCCAAAAGGCTATTCTTCTGGTAGGGGGGCGGTCGTTGTCACAGATGGCCCTGCTCATGGAATTAAGCTTAAGACAGGAGAAGTGAGATTCAAGATCCTTCTTAATTCTAGTGAGCTTGGGAAAGCATGCCGATGTTGTCAGAATTGGAGAGGCTAAATATTTAAAAAAAAAAAATGAAAAAAAGAAAAGAAAGAAAGGAAACCAACAATAAGGAAGAACCTCCAAGTCAGTAAATGTTAATAGGAATAAAAGAGCCTGAGGAGCATTTGGAGAGTCGAAATAGATCTTGATCTTTGGCCATTGCATTAAAAAAAGAAAAAGTTAATGTCATATCAGCTAATGGTCCATGTAAGTGAATTTTTTCCTCAAAGTTTCTGTAACCACTTAAAAGACTGAAGGAGGAGGGATAGAAAAGAAAGTGACAAAAGTCTTATTGAATAATTTATCCCTGATAATTTCTGAAATAAGTGACTTTTTTAGAAATTTTGCCAGAGGGTGTATGCGTTTTCCAGTCAGACAGAGAGAGTCATTTTAATTTGACCAGAGAGGGTCAGAGTGAGAGTGAGAAGGAGAGAGAGAGAGAGAGAGAGAGAGAGAGATGGAGAGAGAGATGGAGAGAGAGAGAGAGAGAGAGAGGAAAGTAAGAAATTATCCTCCATGGAGCATGAGCATGCCACAATCCCTTCTCCATTTCTTCATTCTTTTAAGCTTTTGGACCTACACACACAAGTGGTATGTTTCTCAAGCCATAGGTCCGGAATTCGAACCACACACAGTTGGCCGTGTAAGAGCCAGCTGCCTTAACAGACAGACCACTGGCTGGCCTAATGAGTGACATTTTGATCATTGAGTGAGTTCTATATTTTATGGGGCCACTCCTCAATAATAATCAACTGCAGCACCTGTAATAGGGCGTTCATCTAATTCCTAGTTAATCCGACCAAATATTTAAGGAAAACATCCAATTCTGTTGTGGTTCCAAAGGTAAACCTAGTTTTATTCCATTTTCTTTTGTCTTTCTTTCATCTCTCTCTCTTCTGACTGCTACAGAGCTCCAAGTCAATCGTTCATGACAGACGTGAATGTTCGTACAAAGGACAGCTCGGCCAGGTGTGGTGTCCTCATGGAAGTAACTGAGGACTCGAAGGGAAGAGCAGGAACTTTCTGGAAGGTGAAACGTTTCACATTGATGTTCTTTTTTTCTGATGCAAAATGTTGCATGATGAGATCAATTGTACTGACCCACTTGCCTGCTCTAGTCTTCCTCCCGTAGGGCCCTTGCACTCAGTGGAGAGACAGAAAGAGAGACAGAAAGTGACAAATCACCCCCCAGGAGAGATGGCCACGCTGCAATCCCTTCTCCTCCATTCTTGTCTTGGGATCTCGGGCACACATGCACACACACCCGGCATGATTGTTAAGTTCCTGGGTCCAGGACTTGAATCATGGTCAACTATGTGGGAGTCCAGCGCGGTAACCAGTATGCCACCTGCTGGACCTGTGTGTGTGTTTCCTTTGTGAGAGAGCAAGCAAGCAAGGGAGGAATTTTTTTAATTGCCCAAGTGCACATGCACTTGCCAGGCACAGAGAGAGAGAAGGAGAGAGAGGGAGAGAAAGAAAGCACTCCACAATGGAGCACACACATGCATCAGTCCTCTCTCCTCCATATCTCTATCCTGTCAGGATCTTGGGTGTGCACATACACATGTTCAGTGTATTTTTGAAGCCACTAGGGCTGGGATTCAAACCTCCTGGTGAGCCATGTGAGGTCTGGCTCCCTTAACCAGTAGGCTATTGGGTCAGCCTGAGAGAGTACCTTCGGTCAGCTCTCATTTTACCGAAATCCTCTTGCCAGGGTTCTAGGTACCCATAACTGTGCCCAGCATGTTCAGGGTGGCCCAGGCACTGAACCCAGGTCTTCCATGTAACCTCCGGCCTCTCAGCAGTGGTGCTACTAGTGCACCACTATGACTAGGTCTTTATAAATATGTTTGAGCAGGGTTGGCCCCGTGGCCTAGTGGTTAAGGGAGCCAGATCCCACATGGCTGGTGTGGTTCAAATCCCAGCTCAGGTGACTTGAGAAATATGTTGGTGAATATGTGTGAGCGCCCAATCCAGACAAGAGGGAGAAATAGAGGAGAAGGCTTTGTACATCCTGGTGGGGGCTGCTTTTCCTCTCTCCCTTTCTCTCTGGTGAGTGCATGGGACCTTCTGGCAAATTAAAAGAAAAAGAAAAATATTTTTGACAAGAATTCCATGCTGAAATTGAATGCCCAAAAACTCTCAATGGCAAAAGCCCTGGAATCCCTTGAATGAGGGCATGAGTAGGACAGGGCTGAGTTTCTGCCCGACAGGGAGGCAGGGCCGTCCCCATGCAAATGAGACGAGGCTTGAGGTTTGAAGAATCTTCTATCTCCTTTTCCTCCTTGGCTGACACTTGCTTTGAGGAAGGTTGTAAATGCAAGAGAGATTGTAGTGTAATTCCTCAGACTGGCATGTCTGCCCCCTAGTCACCATTCGATTATCTTCCAAATTGCTGTGTTTCAGAGAGATAAAGATTTTTTATGGCTTGCTGACTAGAAACAACCACAGAGCCAGCAAAGAGCTGGCTAAGCGGCCATGCATAGTAATTCCATTGGTAAATGACAAAATCTTTGTTTGTATGACATTTCCAAAATTACTGCAGAAGATGAATCTAAAATACAAAATGTCACATTTGGCATGCAAAACGATCACAATATATTTCAGTATAAAATTCATAGAGGCGTTTAATTTAGAATGTGTTTAATAACTCAGTCTGCTTGCATTAGTAATCCTGCCTTGAGGTTGAAAAAGATTGTCTTATTTATTCACATGGTGTTCATTTTAAAAATATTTTAGAAACCCCAAATATTAAGGTTAAGTCTTTATTGTTAATTAAGGCTTTCTAATTAAACCAGAAATAATTGTTATTCCCATTAGTTTTTAAGTATGACTTCTTAGAAAAAAATGAAAAAGTCAAACAACTTTCCCTGTTTATTTAACCATGATTTAATTCCAGAACCATACTATTGACATGGAAATATATATTCTCTCTCACAAAATAAAGTTGAGGCAGGATTAAAAAGTGTTTAGTCTTTGGCTATAGAGTCACCTGTACTCAGGTGACCAAGAGAGTAACTTGCGGGAGCAGCAGTTAGCATAATGGCTATGTCACTGTACTCCCATGTAGTTGACCGTGGTTCGAGTCCCAGACTCGGTGGCTTAAACTGACGCGGGCGCATGTACATGCATGTCCAAGATCCCTAGAGGAGAACGGAGAAGGGATTGCAGCATGGCCATCTCCCCTAGAGGGCGATTTTTCGCTTCTGTCTCTCTGTCTCCTTCTGTCTTTCCGGTGAGCGCACGTGCCCTATATCAAAAACCTTTCCAAAAAAAAAAAAGAGAGTAACTTGCATCCAACAATGATATTATTTTGCTTAAAGCACAATGTAACATAATTCTTTGAGATCAAATCACTGCAAACATGACTCGGGACTTATGAGCATAGAAAATATGATTGAATGACACTTGGGTTATTAATGATTCCTGTTTAATTTTTGTTTAATCTGACATAATAATCCATTAGCTATCCATTATCATTGTGTAGAAACTCAATGCTTATCCAAAATGCCCTGCTTATGAAAATGACCTGCTTTTCTAAGTGACAGGTGAATGGTGAAATTCAAATGCCCTTAAATATATTCTCTTTTTAAAAAGTTTCTTTCTTTCTTTCTTCCCTGAGGGAGACAGACAGACAAACGGATGCCTCCAACAGCATCATCATGTCATAAAAGCCACCCCCAGTCTCAGCCAGCCATAATCACAGGCAGTTTCACAGGCACTCCCCCCCCCATGTACAGAGACCTTGGGATGCAAACCTGGGACCTTCCCACGTGGCTTTAGCATTGGGAAGTTGCATTCTTGCCGCACCACCGCAGCTGGCCCTGTGAAATACTCGAGTCATGCTAATGTTACATGTCCATGGTAAACAGAATGTGTGCAAAGTTTCAGGGTAAAGCACATACACAAATTATTTCTCGCCTTATTTGTTTATTTATTTTTGAGAGTTTTTTTCCTATAGGGAGCCTCCCCTTGCCAGAGAGACAGAGAATCAGAAAGTGAGAAATTACCCTCCAGGGGGGAATTCCAGGCCACAATCTCTTATCCTCTATTCTCCTCTTGGGATCTTGGGCACACATGCTGTGCACAAGCCCAGTGTGAGTTGTAAGCCACTGGGTCCAGGATTCAAGCCGCCGTCGACTACATGGGAGACCAGCGATATAACCATTATGCCATTAGCTGGTCCCCCTCCCCTTATTTTTTGACACTCATTTGAAGCCTATGGGGCACATTGACACTTTGCTTAAACTACATAGAACTATTTACTGGGGGAAGGGCTCGTTTGACTGTCTCGTGCTGCACTGTGGCATTCTGTCTGTGATTAGTAACATCGGTCAGAACATCACCTTTCAGACTCTGAATTGGAAGGTTACTGCTAAAACGTGCTCATCCCAGATATCTGAAAAGGCATGCTGTGTGGCTTTCAGAAGTGTTGGTTTCTTGTTAAGTCCATCTTATTACAATAGATGAATGGTTTCTGATGTCACAAGTCATTAACATACCATGCTCAAAAACTGGCCCAACTTCCCTCCCATCATCATGGGCAGGCATGCCTTTTGACCCCCTAATTACATATCACGTGTCCTCACCTGCAATCATTGCTAATACCTGACAATTACAGGTCAAGTAAAAATAATTGTCTATCCCCCCACCCACCCATTGTTGTTAATTGTGTGGTTTTATCCAGTTCCTGCATAATTCAAGAATTTTGCCTTTCTTGTAGGGTGAGCAGGCTCAGTTGCTCCAGCCCCTCCGCATACAGATCAAATGCTTAAGGGGCCTCAAGGACAAAGCTCCTCCAGGCTCTTACCTGCTCAAAGTATCCCTGCTTGGTCGACTGGGGGACTGTGTCTCACAGTGGAGGCAAACAGAGCAGCTGAGGACCAGAACGCATCCCGTGAGGCATGACGGAAACTTTTATGACGTGGGGCTCTATTTCCATGAAAGCCTGTATGTGGTAAGTGCCCTCTGAGCACAGGAAGGGGTGGACTCAGTACACACAGGTCAGCCAGGTGGTGGTGCACACTGATCACCTTCTGTTTACTTAGCTCCTCTGCACTTCCTTTCTATCTATTTCTCATCTCTAACCAGGTAGGTTTAGATAATAAACTTTGTATAATAAACATAAGAATTTCTTTTTTTTTGTTTCATTGCCAAAGGGTGTATGTGCTCAGGGGAGGGGGGGCAGAGAGAGGAGAGAAAGAGAGAATCCCCCAATGGAGGGTGGTCATGCTGCAATCTCCTTCCCTTCATTTCTCCATCTTGTAGAGAGCTGGGCATGTACATACCCATGTCTGATATGTTTTTCAAGACTCTGGGGCCAGGATTTGAGTCTCCATTGGCCATTGGGGATCTGGCTCCCTTAACCACTAGGCTAAAAAGCTGGCTCCACCAAGGATTTCATTCATGCATGCATTCTTTCATACACTCATTCAGCAAGTGCTTGTCACAAAATGGGCACTTATGAAGCATTTGCACTCTATATTTGTTGTAAAAAGGAAAAAGCCATACTCATTTATCAAGCATGAGAGCCTGCAGGTGGCTTGTTGGTTAAGGCACTCCTACATGGCTGGCTGTGGTTCCATTCCAGACCTGCTGACTTGAAAATTATGCTGGGCATGTGTGTGTACATGCTCCAAATCCCAGGAGGAGAATGGAGGAGAAGGGATGAGAGCATGGCCAATCCCTGTGGGGCAGGTGGTTATTTCTCACTCTCCCTCTCACTGTCTCTCTCGCTGACATGTGCATGTACCCTATTACCCTATGCAAAAAAAAAAAAAAAAAAAGAAAAAAAAGAGAAAAAAAAGAAAAGAAACAAAAAACAAACAAAAAAATGGTCAAGAATGTATTTGTGGATACTTGAGATAGTTATTACCTTTTCATGACTTGCAAACTGAGCGATTACTGAGGTGGGCATCTTATATATAATGCATGTGTATATGTGGAGGCAGCCAGGACCACTGATTTTAAGTAAAACCCTTTAGTAAAGTGAAGTTGGAGGGAGTGTTCAGAAAACTTACTGTATGGTGGATTTAAGGGAGTGTGTTTTCCATGCACAGGAGTTCTAGAGGAGACAGTGCTGGGAGAGGAAGCAGTGGGTAGGATGAAACAGTGATCTGGTTACAGGGGCGACAGCAGAGGTCAGAGGGCATTGAGTTTCCTGTGGAAGAATAAGAAAAGCCCAGGATGCTCAGATTGTGTCCCCCAGGGAACTCTGGACCAATAGAAAAGAGAGAAAGAGGCTGGGTTAGTCCCTGAGCCCGTATTTCAGGTTGGCTCATTGGACACTGACATGGCCCAGACTGTTTGCAGATATAGAATTTCCTTTTATACTATTTCAATTACTATACAAATGTATTTAAATCAATATAGAGCTATCACAGAGTGACACTTAAGAAGAAAAAGTTTTTTGAAATAAAACTGATAATATACTCTTTATGTGAATATATCTTCAGATAACATAATGCATTTATTGTGGCTACTGAAGGACCAGTTGAAAGATTTAAATGGAAAATGTTACTATCGAAATGAGAGATTTAGAAACAACACAATTACAGATGCCAAAATTTACCTCCAGTATCTGAGAAGGAAACAGATTTTTCTACCATATTTTTTACCTCCTAAACTTTTAGATATCTGAGTGCCTCGAGTACAGTGACTTTTTTTTTTTTTAAAACTGAACAACACTGTAAGAGAACCATAAGACATGGAAAATATATACTGTCAATAAAAGCAACATCACTGAATAAATAGTGCCAAGTCCTAGGCATCTACAATCTTGCTTAGAAGTGGATAGGAATGAAAAAAACAAACAAACAAAGAAAACTAAAACTAAAACAACCTGTCTATGGGAGCCATAGACTAAGGAGATAGTTAGTGAATGTCACAGCTTATCCCTAAGCCATTTCCATGGCCTGCTTCAGACATGATTTGCAGGGCTGATAGTAACAATGGCAGTGGGGATGCCAGCAGTCTCTTCGAAGAAAGAACTTAGACTTTTTCTAGGAAAGAATTCTTCCTCAGGGATGAAGGGACCCTGGGCTGACAGGTTCACTAAAGAACAAAGCAAGCCTCACCTGGCTTCCCTGTGAAGTGAGTATCATTATACTTACTCACCCAGAAATGACTGGGTGAATGCTTGTAGAAGTATACCATGCAAATACATAAGAAGAATCCAGAAATCTTTTTTCATTATTGTTGTTATAATATGCTGTCTCTTGTATAGTGAAGTCCATAAATTCCTACCCACTAGACTTTGGATTAATATAATAAATGCTCATATTTCAGATAACTTTCAAAATAACGCTTGGTTTAGAACAAAATTGGCTGGGAACCAGTAGTTAGCATAATGGCTATGTCGCTAGACTCCCATGTAGTTGACAGCGATTCGAGTCCTGAACCTGGTGGCTTAAACTCATGCCGGACGCGTGTGCGTGCGTGCCTAAGATCCTGAGAGGAGAATGGGGGAGAAAGGATTGCAGTGTGGCCACCCTCCCAGGGGGTGAGTTCTCGGTTTCTGTCTCTTTGTCTCTCTCTGTCTTTCTGGTGAGTGCACGTGCCCTATAGCAAAACCTCTCAAATAAATAAGTAAATAAATAAAAGAACAAAATTGGTTAACATTTTTTTCCTCCAGTAAGTGACCCCAAAGGCCTTGTTAAGAAGCATGGTGACTATGTGAGAGTGGTTGTGGGGCCAGCTCTGTAGGCTAGTGGGTGAGGGAACTGGACTCCACATGCCCAACTGCAGTTCGAATCTTGACCCTGGCAGCTTAAAACAACATGCACATGACTGTATGTTCAAGATTCCAATAGGGTAGAGAAATGGAAGAGAAAGGATTGTGGCATGGCTATGCCCCACTGTGGGACACTTTCTTTCTCCTCCTCTCCCTCTCTCTGTCTCTCTAGTGAGCACACATGTGCTCTAGCAATTATAAATAAATAAATATTTTAAAAAGAGCAGTGTAGAAATCCCCTTTTTTCTTGGACTGCTGAATACCAGAACCAGAATTTAAGGGCTGGTACCAAGAAGGTGTAAGGCATACTCCAGTCCTTGAACAAAGGGTCTTAGTTCAGACCATTGCCTTATAAGACATGTCAGTAATGTGGCAGTAGCTAAGAATTTAGTAACTATTTTTTAAAAAGATCTAGTCAGCACTTAATGCTTAACGACATTCTTGTGGTAAGTTTTAATCAAGTGCCTTAACATTTAAAGTGTGGAGATAGGCTACAAAAACAGGTCATTCTCAGAGCTTGATTGTTAGAACCATCAGCATTAATGGACTTTGGGGACCAGCAGGTAGTATGGTGGTTAAGGTACTGGATCTCACATGGCCGATGGTGTGTTTCAAGTCCTGGATCTAGTGACTTAAAAAGATCATCTTGGGGGGCTGGCAGGTGTTGTGGTGGTTAAGGGCGCTGGACTCTCACATGGCCAACCTTGGTTCAAGTCCCGGACCTCATGGGTTGCTTTCTCACTTTCCATCTCTCTCTCTCTTTCTCTCTCTCTCTCTCTCACAAACACACACATTCTGTCCCTCTCTGGTCAAAATTAAAACTAAATAAAATAAAGAAATAAAATTACATAAAAATAATTTAAAAAAATCATCCTGGGCATGTGTGTGTGCATGACCATAAGGGACTGTGGTGTGACCATTTTCCTTGGGTGGTGATTTCTCACTTTCCTTCCTTCTCTTCCCCTCTCCCTCTGTCTCTTTCTGGCTGGTGCATACATCCTATATGAGAAAAATAAAAAAAGAAAGAAAAAAGAAAGTTGTGTTTTGGAAGGTGATATACAGTGTATTTGTTATTGATAATATTTGTTTTGATGTTCATTCCTTTAGTTCTTCCAGTTAGAGTGTGAACTCTGCATAGAAACCACATCTATGGATAGGTTTGCTGTGCAGAGGAGATTCTGCATGAGCTGTTGCATGATTGTAACAGGGTTTGCTAAGATAAAATGCCAGGAGGGGTCAGAGGATGCAGACGTGCACCAAGGGCATCTTCAGGGATAGGGAGTAGGACCACGAAGAGATTGAGGTTGCAAAAATATTATAAACTGCATCAAGGCAGTAGGGAAAAGCAGAGGCTGGCAATTACTTCAACGATAAAATGCATTTTCCCTTCCTGCCAAATGGAACAAAAAGTGTCTTGGACTAGTTGAAATCGCAACCCCAAATTTTCTTCCCCATGTGTCAGAAACAAACAACAAATAATTACCTCCTGCCACAGTCAAGGAAAATTTCCTCTTTAACAGCCTGACAAAATGTCATGAATTACATCCATCCCTTGGTAGCACCTCGCAAAATCCTGGATCCCCAAAGAAATACATGAGGCTGTTTCACATCCAGTGTAGAGAAGAACAGTATGGAATTCAGGACAAAAACGAAAACAAGAAAAGCACCGAGACATCCAGAACTTGACAGGAAGGAGAAGTCGTCTGAGACTTTCTGAATAAAAACGGTATTGCTCAAAGTCCTGTTCATTCCACTGGGCTCTCCTCAATAACATCAAGTTTTTTCACTAACCACACAGTTCTGCCTGCCAGTCACTCTGTTGGCAGTTTGTGGGAGACTGACCGTTAAAACAGCAAGTTTTCTAGCAGTGTTATTTTCTAATAATAGATATATACTCATAAAAACACACAAATGGTGGGACCAGCAGCTGGCGTAGCGGTTATGTTGCTGGACTCCCATGTAGTTGAGTTCAAGTCCTGGACCTGGTGGCTTAAAACTCATGCTGGGTGCATGTGCGTGTGTACCAAAATTCCCAAGAAGAGAATGGAGGAGAAGGGAGCATAGCATGACTGGACCTCCCCAGGGGGTGATGTCTCACTTTGTGTCTCTCTGGCAAGTGCAAGCACCCTATAGCAAAAAAAAATATCTTTCAAAACACACACACACACAAATGTGCACTATGCATGTAATTGATATAGGCACATTGAAGATTCTTTCTTACATTT